CCGTTCCCCCCCCCCCCCTCCCCCCTCCTCAGCGGGCCAACCGCTTTGCGTTCGCTTCCCTCCTGCCCCCCACCCTGCTCCTCAGCGGCCCAACCGCTTTGCATGGGGGGAGGAGGAGGAGGAGGAGGAGGAGGAGGAGGAGGAGGAGGAGGAGGAGGAGGAGGAGGAGGAGGACAGGACAACGATTTCGTCGCAGCCGTTTTTGGCTTCAAGTTTTTTGAATTCGCCCAACCGAATTCGAGAATTCGTTCAATGGCTGCCTGGGATGCTCGCTGCGCCACGTGCGGCGCCCTCGGCCCCGCAGCCGCCATGGGCGCGTGGCACTTCGCGCAGGACGGCCCCTGGCGGCACCGCTGCTGCCTGCAGTGCGTTCGGAATTGCCGAGCGAGCTTCGGTGATGAGCATCGTTTAACCGAACCCTGTCCCCATCTCGGTGGCCTTTTCTCCACTAGGGGATTTACCCCCCGACATGGGGATATAGGCGGAATGCCTGGGGGTTCGGGGTGTATATCCCCATGTCGGGGGCGGCGGGAGGGGGTGGGCTGGTGGGGGGCTACATGGGGTTGTTAGGCTAACCGATGCTGAGGTGAGGCGCCACTCACCGTCGACGCGGACACGGCCACGAAGCTCGTCGACGAGCGCCTGGCGATCGCGGCTCAGGCGCGCGCTGCCCAGGACGGCGAGAGGGACAGGCGCGCCAACCAGCGGCGACGGCTTCACTGAGTGAATCCGCGCGCCGCGCGTTTCGAATCGGGAGCTGTGCTCCCCGCCTGCGCCCGCATGAGCGTAGCGGAGGGTGGCGCCCCCCGTCGAGGAGGCGCCGCGCGCAGTTCCTCCTCCCCCCCCCCCCTTCCGCGTTCTCCTCAGCGGCGCAGCCGCTTTGCTTTGCGTGGTCCCTGGGGGGGGGGGGGGGCGGCCGAAACCAGACAGATCAGTGATCTATATGTTTTGGGCCCTCCTCCACCTCTTCCTCCTCGTCCTCTCCCTCCTCCCCCTCCTCCTTCTCCTCCTCCTCGGCGGGCCCAACCGCTTTGCCTTGCAGTTTTCGCATGCGTTTCCTCTTCCTCCTCCTCCTCCTCGCCCTCCCCCGCCTCCCCCCTCCTCAGCGGTCTACCCGCTTTGCTCTGCAAATTCAGCGGCGCGGTCGCTTCCCGCGTTCGCGCTTCCCGTTCGCAGCCACTTGGAGGGCTTCCCGAGGCGACTGCCTTCGTCGGAAGTTCCCCCGCGCACGCCACGGCGCCCAAGCGCGTGGTGAAGAAGCGGCGTCAAGGAAAGGTTGCTTCGCTGCCCTGTGACGATGACGGCGATCATGCCGCTTCTTTTCTCATGCCCTCATATCATCTCTCCATCCAGGCTCAGCGGCGTGGCCGCTTGGCACCCGACCCCCCTCCCCCGCGCCTCTTCAGGCGATGCTACTGATGCAGCAGACGCAGCACAGGTCATCGCCAACACGATGATGACGACCTTGCCCAGCTTCTCCGACGACAGCCCTGCTCCCATGGCACCAGTGGCAGCTCAGAACTTGCTGCAGTCGCTCTTCCAGCGCCAGACCGCGGCAGGCAGCCAGGATGCGCCGACCGAAAAGGCGGGGGACGCTGTCGCAGGCAGCCTTCAGCCAGCAGCAGGCGAGCCTGTCGGCGAACCCGCCGACGCGCCCGTCGCCCGCGCTCCCGGGGTCGCGCCAGCAGAATCCCCGAGTGACGCCCGCCCGCCCTGTCCGCCCCATCCCGAGGCAACCAAGGAGGCGACAAAGCCTGACAAAGAGGCAACAAGGGACACCCTGCCTGACAAAGAGGCAAGAAAGGAAGAGGCTGAAGAGGAGGCGGGCGAGGAGGCTGAAGATGAGGACGTGCCAGTGGAGCAGCTGTCGGACGACGACAAGAGGGACGGAGAGGTTGAGGCCCTGCTCTCGCGGGGCGACCCGAAATGCTCCATGTGCAAGAAGGAAACGAATCCGCTTGCACAGGGTTGTAAGATCACCCATGGCGGCACGGTCATCACGTGTGCCGCGCGCAGGGTACGCGACCAAACACTTCGAAGGATCTTCGGCGGGAGGCCGATTGCGGAGTTCGACGAGCTCACCACGGAGGAGCAGGATCACTTCTACCAGAATTGCGGTCGATCGTGATTTCGATTGTGATTTCGATTGCGATCGATACGTGGGTTTTGACATCGATTGTGATTTCGATAGTCAGTTCGATCGTGAAACCGCATGTGCGATCGATCGTGAGATCGATGGCGGGATCGATTGTAACCGTCGATAGTCACATCGATTGTGAGATCGACCGCATGAAATAGATCGAGTGATCTCGATTGTGAGATCGATCGAGTGATATCGATCGAGCGATACAGATAGTGATATCGATCGTGTGATATCGATCGATGGGTACATGGCAACTCATGGGTACCGTGCCTATAACATGAGGTTGGCGCCCGCCGCTGCTGCTCCGCTCCAGGCGGGCCCTGTCACAGTGGGCTGGTCTTGCCGCCCACTTGCGGCCTCCAGGCCGCCTCTCTGCCTGCCTCCGGGCGCCCTGCCCCGCCGCCCGCCCCCTGCTTCCTGCGGCGTCGGCTTTCTGCAGGTTCTGTCCAGGCGCTGCCTGCGGCACCCTCCGGCCCTTGCGGTCCTTCGGCGGCTGGGCGGCGCTCGCTGCATTGCCAGCGCGCTGCCCCTCTGCTTGGTTTTCTGGCCCGCCCCAGTGCCGGCGAACGTCGCCCTGGCCGCCGTTGCTCCCGTGGCGCAGCGCCGCTGTCGGCATTTGCCCAGTTGGCCCGTTGGCCTCGGGGCCCACCATGTCTGCTCAACCTGGCCCGCCGCTCTCCCATTTGGCGTGGCCCTCTCGCGTCTTCAGCCCTCGGCCGGCGCTCTTCCGCCGCTCGCCGCCGCCTGTCTCCGCGCGCGTGCCGCGTTGGCCCGCCTGGGCTCGGCGTTCGCGCAGTTGGTCTCGGCGCCGGGTTTGGCCTGGGTGTCGCTGACGCCGGGCCTCTTCGCCTCGCCGCCGACCGGGGCCCCGCCTGGGCGCCGGCTTTCGCCCCGCCCGCGTTCTGGGCCCGCCGCTCCCCCACTTGGCGCGGCCTCCGCTCCTTCCGCCCTGGCTTGCAGCGCCGTTGCGCGTCGCCGGGCCGTCTCCTCTCTTCCGCGCCTTGCGCCTCGTAGGCCCTCCTGGTTTCGGCGTTCTCCCGCCTTGGCAGTCGATCGCGGGCCCCGCCATTCGATCGGCGGATCGGGTCTGTGCTTTGCTTTCCCTGCCCCGCCCTGCCGCCGCCCTTCTGCGGGCCCCCAGCAGCGATCGCGGGCCCCGCCATTCGATCGGCGGATCGGGTCTGTGCTTTGCTTTCCCTGCCCCGCCCTACCGCCGCCCTTCTGCGGGCCCCCAGCAGCTCAGTGCTGCGCGGTGCCGTCGCCAGTCTTTCCCCTCGGCGCCCTCTCTCGTGGCTCATTCGCGCCTGCCCGCCTTCCACCTCTCGACTGCCCGCGCCCCGTAGGCCCGCGGGTCTCGGCGTGCTGGCCCATCCCCGGACCGCGCTTTGGTCCACTGGGCCGGCTTTCTGTTGCGTTGTGTTTTTCCCGCACCAGCCGCTTCCCCTTCAGCTTCAGCTCAGTGCAGCTCAGTGCTGGCGCTGGCCCACCAGCTCGGCGCCCCCCCCGCCACAGTCGGCGGTTATGGGCGGCCCGGATTCCTCTCCCCTTGTCGCGCCGTGGCTCCCCCTACTCAGCGCATTGCGGCCTTACTTTGCATGCGGCGTGTCCCCTGTTGCCAATCCGCCGGAGCTGTCACCCTCTGCCCAGCCGCCGACGCAAAGTGCGTGTGTGTGTGTGTGTGTGATTGTGTGTGTGTGTGACTGTGTGTGTGTGTGTGTCCGTGCGTGCCTGCGTTCGCGTGCGTGCGTATGTGTGTCTGTGTTTGTGTGCAGGCGCCGCTCCTCATCACGACAGCTCAAGGATGAAGGAAAGAGGAAGGAGGGGGATTATGCTGATTGCTGATGGTGCTGATGCGGATGCTGATGTTGATGTTGATGATGATGACGGTGGTGATGTTGTTGGTAGTGATGAGGATGATGATGCTGCTGATGATGATGCTGATGATGATGATGATGATGATGATGATGATGATGATGATTACGATGACGATGACGATGACGATGACGATGACGATGAGGAGGAGGAGGAGGAGGAGGAGGACGGCGAGGAGTGCGAGGATGAGTCTGGAAGAACGGGGAGTGGGGTGGGGAGGAAAAGGAGGCGGAGTCGGGATGAGGCGGGTCGCGGGTTTAATTGCTCCAGGGGCGCCAGGTCGACATGTGGAAAAGCGTCCCAGTCCTCCTGGTGTTCACGGCCATCTACTCTGCCGCTGGCCCGAGGGGGAGGGGGAGTGGGGCATTCGTCTCCCCATTTGCTTCTCCCCTTGTCTCCTTCCTTCTCCTCCTCCTCCTCCATCTTTTCCTCCTCCTCCTCCTCCTCCTCCTGTTCCTTTTCCTCCTCCTCCTCCTCCTCCTCTTCCTCTCCCTCTTCCACTCATCATCGCCATGGTGGCTCATGTTCTGAGCTCCTTGCTGGAACCAGTGGGCGCCGCTGACCCGCCGTCGATGTCAAAGAATTTCAGTGCAGTTCGCGGGTCTTCCTTCGCCAGGACGGGTTCCAAGGCTCCCAGGGGAGCCCAATAACGCCGACGTGTGATGTCCTTCTCGGCCCACGCGAGCACCACCGGTGTTGCTACTGAGGCGCCGACGGAAACTTGGCGTGCCACGCCCGCTGCCGCTGCGGGCGCTTGTCGCCCGCGTCGACGCTGCCGTGAGCCAAGGCAGCCCATGCGAGGGCGACGGCAGTGGACGCTGCTCGCACCAAGGCAGCGGGTGCTCATGGCGGGGAATTTCGTAAGCCACGTAGAGAGCGTCGACCGCGCCAGACGCTGGCGTGGCGATCGTAGAATTTCGGCCTCGTCTACGGGCTCGGTGGCCATGTCGCAAGTCTGACGGATCAGGGTTGCGGTCCAAGCCATTGTAGAGGCTCTTGGCTGGCTGTCGAGCAGCAAACCCCGTCCTCAAATTAGAGCTGCTCGCGTCCGCGCAGTGGTTTTGAGAAGGCACTCGAAGAACCCACTCTGCCAGCTAGCGTCATGGAGTCGCACCAGGCTCAGCTGGACAATGCACGGACTCAGCTAATTACAGAAGTGCCAGGCTCTTGCGGCGGCCCGCTGTTGAGTCTGTCGCCCGTCATCCCCACGAGCACATGATTGTGGGAGTTGTCCCTCAAGAGGTCCACAAGAGGAGGAGGAAGAGGAGGAGGAGGAGGAGGAGGAGGAGTAGGGGGAGGAGGAGGAGGAGAGGGGGAGAGAGAGGGGGGAGGAGGAGAGGAGGAGGAGGAGGAAGGAGGAGGAGGGGAGATGATGAGGAGGAGGAGGAGAGGAGGACGAGGAGGAGGAGGAGGAGGAGGAGGAGGGGGAGGGGGGAGGTGGAGGAGGAGGAGGAGGAGGAGGAGGAGGAGGAGGAGCATGGTCGTTTGGGCTTCGGGCCGCTTCTCCTCTACGCCAGTTTCGAACGGTTAAGGCGGTCAGGGCTGAGTCTGGGCCGGCTCGTGTGTGAAGCCACGCCTCCTCCTGCAAAGATGGCCACGGCGCGTCTGGGCGGGCTCCGCAATCCCGCTCCGTACTCCCCGATTGCCCCGCTCACTCTTCTGGCTCCCCGCTCCCTATAGCCACTCCCCCGTCTCCCTCTCCCCGTCTCCCGCCCCCCTTCCCCACTCGCCTCGCATTCCTTCCCTTCTCCTCCTCTTTTCCCGTCTCCATTCCCTCCCTGCCCCTTCCCGTCCTCTCTCGTTCAGCCTTGGCTCTTCAAGTACCCTCCCGCGCCGTCTCTAGCGGCGACGGAGGGAAGGGCAGGGCGAGGAGATGTGGAGTGAGGACGGGGATGAGGAAAACGCAGGTGGAAGGAGGGAGGAATGGAGCAAGACGGGAGGGATATAGAAGGGAGGGAGGGAGGGAGGGAGGGGAGGGACGAAGAGAAGGAGGAGGAGGAGGAGGAGGAGGAGGAGGAGAAGGAGGAGGAGGAGGAGGAGGAGGAGTCCGGCGACTTCACTTGCCACGGGTGGGACAATTTCTGCGTGCGGCAAGTTCACTTCTCCTGAGAAAGCTGAGACGCCGCCTCAGTCGCAACACCTCGCAGGGCCCGGTTCAGGCTTTCCTGGGGAGGGCCACCACGAGGAGGACTCCTGGGGTGGGGAATCATTGGAGGGCAGGCGCAGCGCCGCCAAAAGATCTTCAGTGACAGTTTGGACGTCAATTTCGGAGCCGAGTATGCTGAGAGCGGTGTACTGGATGGCAACCGAGATCTGCCAACACCATGCGAGCGGTGCGAGGTGGACTGACTGTGAGCAGACGGTAGCCATACTGAACGGAAAGGTCACGGAGGATTCGGACGCCATTTGCGTTGGCAGGGTGCAGGGAAGGCCCCGAGCGCCCCCACCCGTCGGATGGGGGAGGGGGATCCTCCGTCCCGACTGGGAGCGTCGGCTCAGAGGTCGGGCCGCGCAGCCATTCGGGCAGCTTGGCCCGTATGGGGCCCTTCCGAGGGTCGCTCCGATGAGTGTAACTCCCAATCGAATCGGGAGGACAGCGTCGCCACGATTGCCGAGCACCCGCGATTTGAAGGCTACGAGACTCTTGACCACCTGTGCGTAGATTTCATTGAGCTGCTGGAGGCAGACTTGGGAGGCTTCTTTGACTGGAACGAAAGGGAGAGAGCCAGTCACGGAGGCGCGCCGAAAGAGGGTAAGACCTGGAAGCACGACGCTGACTCTGCCGCGCAAGAGCTGCCGCCCAAAGCATGGGCGAGAGCGGTGTTCGACGGCTTCAGATCGGAGGCGGCCTTCAGGGGGGTAGCCGACAAGCAGGTGGGCTACGCGCTATGGGAGTTGCGCAGACAAGACACGGCCGAGGGGGCTAGCCTGCTGGAGGTCCACATTGCGGCAGTTTTCATGACACACGAGGACCTCTCTTCGAAGATCGAGCGTTGCAGAGCCCCAGCTGCCAATGGTGCTAGGCGACGGAAGGGAACCCTCATCATCGCCTACTCACCCGTCTAGCTGTCCAGTCTTGGTCTTACGAGTTGGGCTGCCGAGGAGAGACCGCTGGAAGATAGGCGCCCGAGAAGGACTTCAGGGTGATCCGAGGCCAGCTGGACCCTCGGTTCGATGAGGGACCACCGCCGAGCGTGTCCGAGCGGGGGAGGCCAGGGATGGCGTCTTCGCTGGGGCGATTGGCATTGATGGCGTGGCGACGTATCCCGAGTTGGCCAATTTGATGAGTACAGGTTGGGCAGCGGACGTGGTCGATGACATGGGCCAGGCCTCAGACGTGACGTACGGTTGCATGCCTGCATGGGCACAGGAGGTTGGATATACGGATTGGATGCGTTACGTGCAGCTGCAGGGTTGGATGAAACAGGACCCGAGCCAGTGGTCAACTACATCGATTGCACAGGCTTTCGTGCTGATGGCATACCTGGAGCGGCCCTCTGCTACAGTACCGATCAGAAGTATGCGGATATGTGGCAAGTACTTTTCGGGATGGCCAAGGAGATTGGCTAGGAGTCACCCGGCCAGAGAAGGATCATGACCCACGCAGGGTGGGCGGAGCGTTGTCGCCAAGGCATGGCCTTCAATGCGTTCGCGGGCAACAGAGACGCGGACGAGAAGGTGAAGCTGGAGGCGAGGTGGCACCCAGACCAGCACCCGCGGAAGGAGCTTGCGGAGCGCTGGGATGTTGCCGTGAGCACAGCAAGCGCGTGGTGCGTACACCACGGCGGAATCTTGAAAACACATGTTGAGTTTTAGCCCGGAAACCGTAGGCCTCTCCCAGGACCCCGCCCCCAATGCTCCAGGGACCTGGTTTTGTTCCCCTCAGGTTCAGGCGAGCCTGGGGCGCGAGGTCTTCGGGGCGCGCAAGGGTCTTCTGTCCAGGCTCGGTTCGCGCCCGTGCCCAGGACCCCCGCGGATGACTGCCCAGTCCCACCAGTCCCAGAGGCCTTGGGCGCGTCGTGGGGCGGGGGATGGGCCTGGGATGAGTGCCTCCAGGACTGGTGGGGGCGTCTTTGTTCTCTGTCGCACGCGCGGGGCTTCCAGTCGGAGGCGGACCTCTCTCTGGTGCGCATGGTGCGTTCCCCTTGCCCCAGAAAACCGCATGGCGGTTTGCACACACGATGCCCTGGACGAGCTCCGAGGCAGGAGGGAGCCCCCATCTGGCAGATTTGGGTGCTCCCCTTCCCCGCGTCCAGGGCCTGCGCGACGATGGTCAGTGTGATTTTCTCCACGCTGCCAGGGCCCTGCGCCAGTCTCCTTTCCTTCCTTGGCACTGTCTCCTAGCCATCCCGGGGCTCGATCCCTGGCTTAGGGTGCGGGTCAGACTCCAACGCGGTCCTCCCTCTTTGCGGAACTAGAGGAATTAGAGGAACTAGAGGAACTAGAAGAGGAGGGGGAGGCGGAGGGGGAGGAGGAGGACAAGCCAGGTGCGCTCGCGTCATATCTGACGTCCTACCCCTCCCTCCCATCCTTTACCATGGCGTATCTATTTTCTCTATTTGCACTGTCGGATGTCGTAGCAGGGCATAGCATCACATGGCATAGCATGGTGTTAAAGATCAACGCGTAGCCTGACATAGCATGGCGTGGCGACCCCCAAAAGTCGGGGGGAGCTTCTGCGGTCACAGAAATCAACTAATCAGCACCGAGTGGGGAATCGCTTCCGACGGTTGTTTCGGGGGGGCCATGTTGTAGATTTTGGGGCCTATTTGGAAAGACCGAAAACCATGCCGTGGCATGGCGCTGGACATAACGACGCCAGCGCTGCAGCGGGAGCACGATTCGGGACGAGCGGAAGCGCGGAAATGAGGCCAGCGCGGTAGCGGGAGCACGATTCGGAGGACGCGTATTCTGCCATAGCATGGCGTGGCGACGCCCCAAGGTGGGGGGGGGGCTTCTGCGACCCCAGAAGTCAGCGAATCGACACCGAATGGGGAATCACTTCTGATGTTTTTTTCCCTGTGGCCATGTTGTAGATTTTGGGGCCTATCTGGAAAGACCGAAAACCATACCGTTGCATGGCGCTGGACATAACGACGCCAGCGCTGCAGCGGGAGCACGATTCGGGACGAGCGGAAGCGCGGAAATGAGGCCAGCGCGGTAGCGGGAGCACGACTCGGAACGAGCAGTAGCCCGAAAATGAGGCCAGCGTTCCAGCGAGAGCATCATTCTGAACAAGCAACCAAACGAAAACCCATTACCCATGAATATGTGTAAAAAGACCAGTCCGCGGAGGGTGGCCGAACATTTCCCGGACGTCACCAGGGGAGAGAGGAGAGTAGTATCCATACTTTGTAATTGTGGAAGTGGAAGAGGAATAGGAGGAGGAGGAGGAGGAGGAGGAGGAGGAGGAGGAGGAGGAGCAGCAGGGGCAGGAGCAGGAGGCGGAGGATGAAGAGGAGGATGGGGGGGCAGGGAGGAAGCAGGATGAGGGGGGACGAATCTCGAGACGGAGGCGGAGTAGCAGCGGCGGTACGAGAGGGAAAACCCATGGTTCGCCGGGGCGTTGGGAGGCGGGCTGAAGGCGGTCATGTACACCGACTCCAGCCAGGCTGCCCCCCGTCCTCTTTCACCCCGCCCTCCTCTCCTCTTCCTCCCCCTCCTCCTACCCGATCGAATGTGTGTAAGCGAATTCCAACAAATTCCGCCCCCTCCTCCTCTTCCTCCTACTTGTCCTCCATTTCCTTCTCCTCCTCCTCCTCCTCATCCTCCTCATCCCACCCAGGGTTCTCCTGAAGTTGCGCCGGAACGTGCTCCGTCAAGTTCTTCGTTCTGCTTGCCTTCGCAGCCGCCGCCTCCTCTTCCAAAGCCCCGCCCTTCCCCCTCTCGACTTCTGCCGTCGTTTCGAGGAAAACGCGCAGATCTCTTGCAGTATTGTGCTGGTTGGACGCCCTGGCGGGAATACGCGTGCCAGTCACCCCAGCAGGTTCCCTTCACGCTCCTTCTTTCCTCCCACTCCTTCCTCCTCCCCCTCATCCTGCTCCTCGCACTGCAGTCTGCACTGAGCAGGATTTGTTCCGCCCGCGCGCTGGACGGAGTGCATGCCTTCCAATCGCGAGCCTCAACGCGTTTCCGTTTTTTTCTGGAGGCGCTTTCGGGAGCGTGTTGTTCAATGATATTGACGGTTTGCAGTTCCGAGGCTCGCCCGAAGGTTTTTTTGTCTCGCGAGTTGAACATTACTCCCGGCTATGAATGTTTGTAATGATTGGCGTCGTCCTTCCTCCCCCGTCCATGCATCCCTTGGCGTCTTGCATTTCCCACTTGAGTCCGTCGTCTACCCGATGGGGTCTGCACCCAGGCGAGGATTGAGTTGGCAGCGTGAGGCACACAAGGTGTGCAAATCACGCTGTCCGCGCCACCACCGCTATCGCCTTGTAGAGGACTCCAAGCGCATGCGTTGGCGGCGGCCAGCTGTCAAAGCAATGTCCAGATAGCAGACCGACTGCGACACATGAAATACGTTCAAGACGCGACCATCTTCGCGTGCAGAAGCAGTTTTCGCACCGCAGCATGCGGCCAGCCTTGTTCTGCGCTCTGGCCCATCTCCCCTTCTCTCCCATCCCCTCCTCCTTCTCCGATCTTATCCTCCCATTATACTGTTTCTTCTTCTCCTCCCCCGCCCTCCCCTTTCCCCCCATTCTTCCTCGTTGTCTGTGTTATTCCAAGTCTCTAGCCACTACTACGCCTCCCCAGGCGATCATATTCATCGTTGGTGGCATCGCTGGGTGCATCGTGGCGCTCACCAAAATAGGCTGAGCTAGCCGTTCTTCTGCTCCCGTTGGGCCCCCAGCCGCCGCTCATGCGGACGAGGAGCAGGCGAGGAGGAGGGTGCGGAGGAGCAGGGGAAGAAACACCAGGAGAGGAGGAACATGATGATGATGCTGACGGGGCGGAGGAGGACGAGTGTAAACCAAAGATGCATCGACGATGTTGCAAGAAACCCTCCCTCCAAGGTTTCTATCTAATCCCGCCATCGTGCCTGGTCTGTGGGTTTGAAGCCTCTGTTCGTTGGGATCTCGTGGGCGTTTTCTCGGGGGCATGTTGAAAGTTTGGAAGCCTCGTGGGGGCCGTTTGTGAGCCTATGGAACTTCATTTGGAGTTCTTGGGAGCCTTTTTCGGGCCTCTTGGGGCTTCTGGGCGCCACTTGGGGCCTCCTGGGGGCCTGCTGGGGCGGAAGGCCAATTTTTGTGGTTCGTGCTCTTTTTGGGGAGCCCCTTTCGGGGCCGTCTTGGGGCCCTCTTGGGCCGTTTTGGGCGCCTCTAGAGCTGTCCCACGGCCTTTTTGGGCCGTTTGTTGGCAGTTTTGGAGGCCTCTGGGGCCATCTGGGATCGTCTGGAGGTGGACAAAATCGAGAATGTCAAAATCGCTCAATAAACCTGCGGCCAAGCAGTGAATTTAGCCTCTTCTGGCCCTCAGGGCAAACCTCCTTGGCGGCCTCTTGACTTTGTGGGAATGTCCCAGGGGTGGGCGGGTAACATGCTTATCTATATGCTGCCGTCCTGGCTCAAGGTAGCGCCGCCCAACCTGCCAGTTTGGGCGCATTCGCCGGCACTCGATTTGAGGCGCCAGGGGTCATAAAGGGCTCTCATCACATCCCGTCGCCATTTTCTTTCTACCTCCGCAGTACAAGTTTCACCACGGCATGGCACATCTGCTTCGGATTTGGAAGAGGAGGTGTCGCAGCCGCGGCAGCTCTGCTCACCTCCGCCCTGATCGCGATAACGTACAAATCCGTCTACATGCGCAGCGGAGGCCACTTGCATAACTGCAGCATGATCATGGTGGACGCATGTTTGGACTCCCGCTTCATGGGCACCTACCGCTAAGTAGCCACTGCGCCTTCTCCTTCCGCAACCTGGACTTCAAGCGCGCGAGGAGACTCGACACATGATCGTGGCCTTCCCTTTCTCATCTATTACTCCACCGAATACCCCGTCGTCGAGAGCGCAAGGTTCTCGTCCGTTACCATGACGACGACATGATTTATTTCTTCTACGTCGAGCGCGCCAGGAACTTAGAACGCTGCCACGACGACGACACCATCTACTTCCCTCTATGCGTCGAGCGCCCGTGAAACGTCGACCGCTGCTACGACATCCGCGACCACTTCCGCAACCGCCACCTCATCCACATTCGCTCGCGGCGACGCGACATCTCCGACCCGCGGGGTCGCCGATTCGCGAACATTTCCATGTCCCCAGCCGCCCGTGGAAACGCGACCGGCGACATTGCCGCATCCGGGCTCGCCGCGACATCGTCCACGTTTTTCCGCGGAACTCAGTGCCTGGAATTGGCGGCGCATGGACCGACTGCAGCTGCCATCGGCGTCGTCGTTGGCCGCGTGAGCCGGGGGCGGGAGGGCGACCGGGAGAGGAGTCCGACATGGAATCCCGCGGGCTCGGCGCGGCGCTATGCCTGGATTCGCGAAGTCAGGGCGCGCGACTCCATCGCGACAACTTGCAGCATTGCAATGCGGTCCACAACGCGCAGCCCGCACCCTAGCCACGCTAGCCCCGCCGGCTGTCATCAACTTCCGAGCCGAGGCGAACAGCGACCGCGCGGGCTCAATTACCCACCCCCTGCGCAACGCCGGGCCCGAAGATTCGAGAGACTCGAAGACGAACGACAACTACTGCAAGGCCTCGCGCGAATGGGCGCAGACACCGCGGGGTTAGGCCTAAACGACATCCTGGTTCCGTTCGCTCCCTTAGCGCGGGCGCTGCGGATACCGCCGGGCGAAGAGGCGTCTCTTCTGCGGCCTCTGAATGGTGCGATGCCTCGAACTCAGCTGCCATGGGGCGATCTTCGAGAATCGCGACGCAGGATGCGCGGGCGCCGTTAGTGCCGGCGACCCCGCGCCTGGTTCCCGGACTCCGCCCGCCGGCCATGGCGCCCGTGCAAACACTTGGCCGCCTATGCCCCGCCAGCCCCGCCAACGGCGGCCCATGCTGCGACGCCAGCGGCAGCGCTGTGGGGCAATCCTGCAGAGGAGGGCGATAGCGGCGCGGGCACGGACGCAATCCTCTCCAATGACGACGCCAGCTTGCACCTGGGAGGACTTGGCGGACTTGCCCGAGGGGCAGCGCGCCCAAGAATAATTTCGCGGCGGCTGCTGGATGCGCCGCGCTCGCAAGCTTGTTCGCCGAGCCCGACGCTCCACGACGCGAATGCTCGAAAGAAAGGAGGCGTCGAGGCCGGGGTGGGCGCGAGGGGCTCGCGGCGAAGGGCATCCAGGTCCACGCTGCGTCGCTGCCAGACAGGCCCGCGAGGGCTCGATCTTTGGCGGTCGAGGAAAAAGAAGAGGAACACACACACACACACATTGGGAACAGGCCCAGATCCACCAGCACGGGCAAAAGCTCGAAGGCGCAATCCCATAGGTCAGGACGGAAGCGTAACGACGTGCCGCAATGCGGGGTTGATCCACAACAAGGCCCGAGAGTGCCCGAACCCACGTGGGCAAACTCCCCTTGCACGGGGCGCATGACCCACGGGCGCCTTCGAGCACCTGGACCTTCCCGAGCGCAACCAACAAGGGCTCCCATAGCTTTTTAGGCGAGGCTACTGAGGAACACGCGTTTGTTGTCCCACGACGTCGTGGGCCACTACAGGCTGGACTCCACGCGCGCCGTGAACGACTGGCTCGTGGGCGCGCGACCAAACTTCAGTGGCCCCCCTTCGCGCGCGCGTCCGATCGCGCGGACCCTTCGGGAACTGCAGTTCACGGCTCGCCGGAGCAATGCCGCGCAACACCGCGCAGAGACGCGCAGCGCCAACCGTTCAACGCCGCGTCGACCGCACGTCGCCGCACAAAGCGCGACGCCGCACAACGTTGCACAACTGCTCTTTCAAGCCGCATCGCGCGCACCCAGAGCGGACGCGTTTGCATCTTTTGGCCTTTGTTTTCAATTTGAAGTGGGGTTCTCGACATGGCCCCTGCCCAGATCGCTGCGGCTGAGCTTGCCGATGGGAGTTGCGGCACGCTTGATGGGGCCCATCGGGGGCCTTCGTCCACGCGCTGCCAATGTTCGTCAGCGCGCGGCTTTGAGCGGCGTTGCGCGCGGCGTTGCGTGGTGCTGCGCGTTGGGAAGCCCCCCCGAGGGCCCGCGCGGTCGGACGCGCAACGCCTCGTTAATTCACAGCGGATCGTGGAAACACGGCCCGAGACAAGATCATGAATGCGATGCAGTTTTTCGACGTCACGTTGATCTAGTAGCTGGGCCCACACGCAGCGCACATTACGACGAGGTCAATGGCTGCGAAGTTGGACCTGGCACCGCAGCTTTCTCTTCGCACCGACGGGATTCAGAGTCCACTTAACATGTCGCCGAGCCATATATTAATCGCGCGAGTAATCCCGGGAACTGGCCCCCGCGACAGTGCCTGTGGTGTATGTTTGAAGCGAGCCAGTTCTTGCCCGACATGACGCGTGAATTTTCTATTTGCATTCATCGAGAAGTCTCGCATCACCCGGCATATCATGCATGCGCGTGGCACGGCGCGACCCTGACAGTCGCTCTACGCGCGTGCGCATTGGTCCGCACAGGTCATATCGCATGAGAGAAAGTATGGTGAGGAATTCATATATTCTAACACCCAGGAGAGTATGAATGCCCCGATCACAAGGAGCTCTACACAGGTGGCGATGATGACAACATCATGATGAGACACACCTGGGACCGCGTTTCGCAAGTGGTGCGGGCCGAATCGCCGCGCAACCCGCCGGGCGACAAGACGCGCAGTGCGTCGGAGGCCGTGCAAACGATGAGTCTTTCCGTCTACAGTCACTTGACCCAGTGTAAGAGGATTGCGAAGGCTTCATATGAAGCGCGCAATTTCGTGTGCATCAGGGCCAGATGCTGAACTGGACCCATTTGCTAGAACGTCCGCGCCCTGATCTCCACGCAATGAGGCAATGCGCGAGTGCGACATGCCCGAAACGGCCCCCCGACCCTCAGGAACAGCATTTGGCCGCATTCAGCCCCGACCCTGAACGGGCTCTGGAGACGCGCCCAGTGGACGAGGATGCCTTGGGGGAGTTCATCGAGTGCGACCCGGCACGGGAAGAGCATGATCCCGATGTTTTTCCTGTTCTCTGCTGCGCAGGCTCGCTGGGCGTTCAAGAATGGGCGCGCGCCAGTTGTAGCGTTTCAGCGTCAATGCGTTCCCAGAATGCCAACGCCCGAGCCCCGTCACAGTGGTGCCAGGCGTGCATCAGCCAGTACTGTCGTAACTGATGTCCAGTCGCAATCGCGATGTTTCTTGTTGTCCGAGCATTACAGGCGGCCTGGATTAGTAGGTCGACCATGCCAAATCGAGGGTGCCCTCGTGTCCTGTCTATCCCGACCTCTGCAACCCGCCTGCCCTTTGGTGTTCTGGGGTCACGCTGCCGCCGGAAGAGTCCCGCGTCCTCTCGCGTGTCCTGTCCAACCAAGGCACCGCGTCAGACGATGGGGGGGGGGGGGGGGGCGCGCGACCCTGCTGATGATAGACGCGGAGGAAGAAGACGATGAACCGCGTGCTCCACGCCCACCGCGCGGCGGCCGAGGCGCCCCTGGACCCGGGCGCGAGTCGGGCCGAGGCGTGCGCAGACGGCATGGGCGCGCGCGTCGCGGGCCCCCGATCCGCGGAGCTGACGCGCTAGACCGACGGGGGCACTCGAGCTCTGGGCGACGAACGCGCTCTCCGGGGAACGGGCCGATGCGACTGCAGGCTTTTGAGGGGTCATGCCTCCGACTGCTGCGGCAGAAG